AAAGGTTACATGCTGTGGCCCCTACCATTCATATAACTTTATTGAAATCACCAAAGTATAGAAATGAAGAACAGATTAATGGCTGCCAGAGATTTAGGTTGAGTTGGGAATAGGAGGGAAGTGATATTGGGGCTCCTGTTAGTTATGGATACATTCTGTCTCTTGACTGTACCAAAATCTCAACTGCCTGATTTGTGATACTATAGTACAGTATTGCAGGATGTTATCTTTGGAGAGAACTGGGTAAAGATTACACAGGATCTCTATGTATTACTTCTAACAATTATACGTGAACATACAATTATCTCAAAACAATTAACCAAAAAAATTAAAAATGAAAAAGCACTTCAGATCTCACCCACTGTGGGTCATCTGAGTGGATCACACTGGCAGTGACAAGCCAATGACCATGACCAAAGGGTTGACGAAACCTCCTCTACTTCACAACCAGCCAGCACTTCCTGGCACCATGGATACACCTGTTTAGCTCTCCTGGGGGACACTGCCTTCATCTTACCCAGTATGTCAAAGCTTTCCAGCTATTGAAGCCCAACTGCCAAATTTTCTTTTCTTGCTGGGGGAATTCCCTGTGGCTCAATGGTTAAGAATTCACCTGCAATGTGGGAGACTGAGGTTCGATCCCTGGGTCAGGAAGATCCCTGGAGGAGAAAATGGCAATCCACTACAGTATTCCTGCCAGGAAAATCCCATTGACAGAGAAGCCTGGCAGGCTACAGTCCATGGGGTCACAAAGAGTAGGACACGACAGAGCGACTAAGCACCACCACCACCACTACCTCTGCTAGAGGCAATGCCATAGTCATAGCTGCCCAGGTTCAAAACTATGACCCTCGCTTTCATTCTTCAAGATGTTTTTCCACATGCAGAAATCTAGTCCTAGGAAGCTATTCTGCAAAATGTCTCCAGATTTTCATCAATTTCTGCTGCAATTCTTAGCCAGGTCTCACTATCTCGGGGCTTTGATAGCATGCTAGGCCCCAAGCTCCCTATCCCTGTCAATTTCTTCCCCTACCACCTCCATCCTACACACCCAATGTTACTTCTCATCATCGTACTGTCCTAACGAGAAACTTTGAGCCACAGCCCCAGTATGTGTGTGTGTGTGTATGTGTGTGTGTGTGTGTGTGTATTTGTTGTGGGAGTGGGGAGCATGGCTCTCTAAGGTGTTTAAGAACATTTGTGTGTGTGTGAAAGGGGCTTGTGGCCAGAGCTCCCCTTGACTCAGGTTTAGCAGCTGTGCCACATGGGAGTCAGGGCGCAGGGCCAACCCCACACAGCACAAAGTAAGTCTGGAGATCTATGACCAGCAATTTGGGGCACAGCTGGGAGAATGAGCTGCAATGGGGCCAACAGAAAAATGCAGCAAGAGCAACATAGAAAGGGCAGGTTTTATGACAATATCAGGAGGTCATGAAACCTACAAGAAGGTTAAGGGATACTGGGGCCTCCCCCATGGCCAGAAGGCGATCCATACAGATAAAGAAAAACAGACTCTCTTTATGATAATAACGAAAAGTTATATTGTACAAGCCGAATCACCTTACCCCAGTTAATGAGACTTCCAGATATATGAAGAGGGAAAAAAATCCATATCATGTGAAAAGTCATGAGGATAGCATCTGCTTCTTACCTCTGACTGGGAAGTTTAAAGATGGATTTTTGTAAACAGAATGAAACATATTATTGAAAAACACTTTTTCTTTCTTTTAAAATGTAATTATTTGGCTGCAAATGGATCATTTCCTCCTCTGGTTATGAGACTCGAATACCTGTAAATATTGCATAATGGCCTGCTGGCAGACATATCTTGTTGCCTTTCATGGAAGGAAAATGAAGAATTATGAGAACAGAATGGCAAGGCTTCTCTAACCCCAGATTCCATCATCAACTCTGTGCCTGTTTTAAGGCACAAACAACAGGACCTCAGGGTTCCTGTCCTTCAGGTTCTGAGAAATCTTAGTCAAAAGAAAAACCTGGGACCCCTGGCTTTCCTTATTTCTTAATTTAATTTGAATCAGGAAAACCTCTGTGGCCATATCGCCCAAACTGCATATTAAAGGAGAGGCTGAGGCTTCCTTCTTAAAACTTAGGGTTTCATGTTGGTTCACCTGTTCTTCCCGGCAGAGATCTCATTCCCCAGTCATGGGGGTGAGGGGGAGTGTTAAGGTCACCATACTGGTTTTGTAAAGAAGAAGTGATCTCATTAAAACTGCACTTGGTGGCTGCTGCCCCTATTGACTTTCAGCCAGTAACCTGCAACTGAGCACTCCCTGCAGGGTCAGCTGAGACCTTCCTCTTTCATTACAGAGTGGACACAGGCTCCGAGCAGGCCCACAGTCCCCTAACACCACCAACTGCCCCAAGGCTTAGGCTGAGCCTTGGCTCTATTTTCTCCTCCGCATAATGCCTGGTCTGGTGTTGAACACAGCAGCTGGAGACCATTGTAGGGAAAATGAAAGATGGAAGAAGGATCCAGCAGTGACCTATCAGTGCTGATGCCCCGAGTGCCTGGGCGGGGGAGGGAAATACCCTGCCTCAGAGAGATGCCCAGGGTCCCAAACACCGTGTATGCTGCACAGGGAAAGAAGAGGGGAAACATAAGTCCTACATCTCATTCCTGAGGGCTTTGAATTTCATGATTTCCCCATGTTATTTAGAAGTCAATAAAGATGTCCCATATATTCCTTTCCCAGTGTTTATTTTCCTTGCAAAATGATGCCAAAGAAAAATCGACAGGGTACTGCTGCAACACTGAAGGCTGTGAGTCTTCCTCCCATCTACTGAGCAGACGGAGCCATTTCGTTAGGCCCATTTCCTTTTTCTCCTCTCCTTTTTTTCACCCTGGTCCTGGTCTCTCCCCTCATCCATTTCTCCCTCTCTCCTCTTCTCCATGCCTTTCCCATCCTTTTTTCCCCTCCCACTCCCTCCACCAGGATCTTACCCTTCCTCTACTCCTTCCTGGTGATGAGCTAAAAGGTGGTCAATTTTCCAGTAACAAGGGTAGCTGCTAGGTTTTACTCCTGTTTCTAAATAGGGTTGGTTGTCGGCATTTTATTATGACCATAATAAAGTCAGCTTTCATTGCAAAATCTCCCATCTCCCTAGCTTTTGGGGTCCTCAAGACCCTGCAGGGAGCCCAGGGTATGGAGAAGCTTCCCAATGAACATGAAGGTTAAGGAGACTCAGCAGAAGGGAGGAAAAATCAGAAAACACTGAAGCAGGATATGAGATACATATCTTCCCTCAATCTGCAAAATCAACCCAGTAGGCCCATCATACCACTCAGCTTGCAAGATCACCTAAAGCACTTTGTAAATAAAGGCATATCCATTTCCCAAAGAAAACAGAGCCAAATGTTTAAAGAGAAGAAGAGGAGGAGGACGAGGAAGAAAAAAAGAGAAGGAGAAGAAAAGATTTTCAGTCTTCTAAGAAAAACCGTAACTGTTTCTATTATAATATGGGAGAAGAGACTCTATTAACAATAATACTGGGAAAAGGAAAATTGAGCAGAAGACGTGAGGGTCAACCAAAGACCTGGGACCCAGTGGGTATCACATACCAAGGACTGTGACTCTGCCCGAGAGCCCAGGGCTGGTGCCCACCAGCCTTGGCAGGCTCGCCACTGTGAAGGTGGCAGTGAGCATAGGGATGGGTAAGCCTGGGGATGACCACGGGTTCTGCAGGGACCCCCAGAAAGCTATGCTGACTCTGCAAAATGTCTAAATCAGGTTGAAATTCCCCACCCAGGCCCCCAACACCTTCCCTGCTTGACCCTGCTGCCTACTCTCATCACCGTGATGTCCACCATGCTGCCTCACCCCACGGGCTGACCACACTCCAGCCTGGATTCACTGGCTTCTGCTCAAGCGGGGATCCCTTCTGACTTCCTCCAACTCTGCCTTCCAGCCAGGTCCTTCATGGCTCCACCTGAGAATCTAGAGAGAGCGACGCTAGAGGCTCCCTCAGTTTCCAACACCCCTCGAGTGTCATGGCGGATCTTCCAGTGTCATGGCGGGTCTTCGAGTGTCATGGCGGATCTTCCTTCTCGGGGCCGTGGCCCCAGGGACTGAGGACTCACAGAAAAGACACTACCAAACAGACACAGATCCCCAAGATCCATGGGGGAACTAGAGAGATCCTCAGAATCAAGCACGAGTTCCTCAACTACAAAGTGGGGACATTATTTACCTTACAGTAGCCTTGTGTGGATTAAAGGCAATAATGCTGGAAAAGCACTTACTATGGTGCCTGGGTGAATTGTGAGTAAATGCTGGTCACTTTTATAATTGATGGCAGAATTGGAAGGCAGACTCAAATTCTTTCATCTATACATACAGGAATATGCATATACATATATGCAACATACACATACTTAAGTAACTGACCGTATTAAACATTAAATACATTAGGTAAGATGAATGGCAACCCACTCCAGTCTTCATGCCTGGAAAATTCCATGAACAGAGGAGCCTGGCAGACTATAGTCTATGGGGTCAAAGAGTCGGACATGACTGAGCATGCATTCGTTGGCTTTACCACTGGCAAGATTAATGCTCTACCCATTGCCTAATGTTTCAATTAAATGTTAAAAACCAAAAGTGCCAAAAGTATTTGATTAAAAATTAAAAGAAGGGGCTTCACTGCTAGTATCAGTGGTTAAGACACTTCCACTGCCAGGTACACAGGTTCCATCCCTGGTTGGGGAACTAAGACCCCGTACGCTGCACGGGCAGCCAAAAACTTTAAAAAAAAAAAAAAAAAGCTTAAAAGAAAATAACTAAAATGCATTAAAAATTAATAAGTTCTGTGCAATTTGGGTATTTTTTTAATCTATAAAATCATAGTCCTTGTTTGTACTCTGACAGGGCTGGAACAGAGCTAAATAGGACTTCTTTTTGCAAAACCATCCCAGACAGCATAACAAAAAGTGAGGTGTATGACATACAAACCAAATAAAATGTTCAACCATAATCTCTTACCTTGGACCCAATGAGAGTGTACAGCCACTGAATGGTTTCATTGTGGTTTATTACTCCATTCATCCCATCCACGTACAACATAATCTGGCCCAAAGCTAAAGAGAAGAGAAAAAGAAGCAAGGAGATATTATGGTTTTATATGTAAATAACATCTCCCATGATCATAACGTCAAGTGAGATTCTCACACTTTAAGTACACTGTATGTTAATGGTCAAATCTGAAGATCTGATCTGATTTGATTCCTGAGCTCTGAAATTAGCGAAATCTCATTGCAGAAAGTGTGGACCATTCCAGAAGAAACAAAGGCTATTCCTGGTATCTGGAAGATGCAATTAAGGCACCAAATCCAGTGACTGTTGCTTCTCTGTGCCTTGATGTATAAATACATGTTTTCTGTTTCTATATCTGGGTGAAGTCCCAGATGGGACACAGATATGGATGAGATGGTGTCTGGGTCATGGCCTCCAGTTACAGAAAGAGGTTCTCAAAGCAACCTGTCCAGTGCCCCAGCCTGTGGTCAGGCTGGTCCCAGATGCTATGGAACCATCCTAAGTTTATTTGAATCCTTATATAGGAAATAAATATGTATTTAAGTATTATGTGTAATCCTTTCTAAAGATTTTTGGGTTTTAAAATGTCAGATATTATGAAAAAATTGTCATTATCAAATAAATTCTTAGTTAAGGACAATATAGTCACCAAATATTGTCATTATCCATAAAAAATATATTATTACACTTTTTAAACAAATACTAACTCAATTTTTTCAGTTCCCTTAGTTTCAAAATAATTTGGTGTCTAGAAAATCAATAAACAAAGGTTATATACTCTAAATAAATAGTCTTCATTGAATTACATCTGATCTGCTAAATCTTATTTCAGTCATAATTAATTGATATGGCATTGACACTTTTGGCAACCCTTTTTTCCTGGTAATAATAAAATATCTCATTTTAGAAAACTTAAAGTAAGAGGTGTGAAATAAAAATAATTCATAATCTCATAATTTATAATTATTCTTAACATGTTGATATATTTTTCCTATATTCTTTCTTTTATGCTTTACACACACACAGCTTTATATGCAGGTTGTAGGAGACAGTTCAGATGAAATGGTATTGACTGAAAACAGTAAATAAAACATAAAATATGAGTATCCACTAATTCCAAGCATACAAATATATGTGTTATGTCAGAAAATTTATTTTTATCCAACAAATAGATAATAAAATCACATAATCATTCTGAGAAAAAGTACGTTCTTATATATGTAAAAACTCAAAATTTTAAGCAATTAATTGAATGTATCCTTGACACAATAAACAGTATATTTTTGGAAATACCAGATTCATATTCTATTTGGTGGTGAAACATTAGAGATATTCCTGTTAAAATCAGAAGTAATTTTAAAATGATGTCCATTAATCCTATGATTATTTAATACCATGCTAGAGAGTTTCAGGCAAATTTAACAAGACAAGAATAATAATAAAAGGTAGGATGGTTAGAAATTAATACTTAAAACTGTTATTATTTGCAAGAAATATTACAGACCAAATAAAAATTCATTTACAAGATTTATAATGAAGAGATCACAATTACAACCACATTCTCATCTTGATGAGAAAAAGTATGTAATACACAAAGAAAATCAAACTTTGACATAAAAACATAATGCTAGATAAATGGACACATGACAGAAAATATGATAAAGGTTTAAATGATTTATTTTAAAAGTTGATAAGAAAATACTAAATGCCAATATAAAAAAGCCAAAATCAAACCAGTCAATCCTAAAGGCAATCAACCCTGAAAATTCATAGGACGGACAGATGCTGAAGTTGATGCTCCAATACTTTGGCCACCTGATGTGAAGAGCCAACTCATTGGAAAAGACCCTGATGCTGGGAAAAATTGAGGGCAAAAGGAGAAGGAGGTGACAGAGGATGAGATGGTTGGATGGCATCACCGACTCAACGGACATGAGTTTGAGAAAACTTTGGGACACGGTGAAGGACAGGGAAGCGGGGCATGCTGCAGTCCATGGGATTGCAACGAGTTGGGCATGACTTAGTGAGTGAACAACACAAGAGAGAAGACAAACTGGTTTACAATAGTAAAGTTGTTCATTCTTACTATAATAAAAATGCAAAATAAAACAATAACGAGGTAGCATTTTTATTTAAATTATCAAAGACATTTTTAAAAGAAATGATTAGGTATCAACCGCTGCAGAGGTTAAATAACTAACTTCATGCATTCCTGGCATCAGGGCAAACTGGTACAAGTCCTGTAATCTACTTAGTGCTGTAATTGTTTTAAAAATAGTTTCGATAGTTACCATTTAGTGTCTACCATCTCTCAAGATTTGAGGTGGGGGGACTTTATATGTGTTATTAACACAAGAGCCAGGCTGTATAGGAGGTATTACTACCCCCACCTGACAGAGGAAAAACTGAGGCTCTGAAAAGTGCTCCCAAGCTCCATCACTACCAAGCGGCTGAGTCTACCTCTAGCCAGGACAGGTGACTCCTCTGTGTCTCTATTCAGAGCCTCAAAGTCCTCTCGAAGCTCTTCCTCAGCCAATGTGATTTCAACAATCTATCCTAAGGAAATAACCCTAAGTTAAGGGAGGAAAGAGAATGAAGCAAAAATATGCACTGAAGTGTCATCTATAACATCAAAACATCAACTAAAGTCCACACATCCACATATATAAAATCCACTAGAACACCGCATACAGAGTAATTTACCAAACCTATGTCCTAACTTGTGAGCTGTTTCTGATAAAATAGTTAAAAAGTAGAAAATGAGAAACATTATATAATTCAATAAAGTACTAAGATCTTCAAGCATTGAAGGAAAGGAAACCCCATGATATATTAAGCATTATGACATGATATATGTTCTTTGGATATATTTTCTTCTACTTTTTTGTTTTCCTTGTTTTTCATTACAAGTACCTATTACTTCTATAACTGGAAAGCAAACAGATACACAAAAAGGAACTAAATAAGACTGCATAATGCAAAGTGTTAAGTGCTTTTTCTGGTTTTTAGAATTTTTTTTACTAGCTTACCCCTCTTGGCATACCCCTCCCTCGTTCAGTAAGATAAAGCTCCCACTTCATGGAAGAGTTCTGAGAATTCAGCACATCCTGCCCCATTTTTTCCTTTTGCTTTTTCTTTCCTCCTCTCCCTTCCAAAACAAACTGGCAAACCTCCAGGGAAGAGGCGTTTGCATCACTGTCCTTTTCCCACTCAAGTTCCACTGTTGGAGAAGCAAATTCAGATGCTAGGCTTCCCTGGTGGCTCAGATGGTAAAGAATCTGCCTGCAATGCAGGAGACCCGGGTTTGATCCCTGGGTCAGGAAGATCCCCTGAAGAAAGGATAGGCTATCCACTCCTGTATTCTGGCTTGGAGAATTCCATGGACAGAGGAGCCTTTTGGGGTACAGTCCATAGGGTTGCAAAGAGTCGGACTCAACTGAGCAACTAACGCAGACTTTAGCATCTTCCAAAGCAATGGCACGGGGGAGACGATGGAAACTGTTTATAGTCTCTGGAAGGTGCATCCCTTGGGGGGCCCTTCCCCCCTCCCAAGGCTGAAAAGCCAGGGAGTAAAGTCTCCCCACTGACTTCTCAGGGCCTCTGGTATTGCAGAAAGCCCAGCAAACCAGGGCATCGCTACGGAAAGTGAGTCAAAGTGAGAATTTCTGTAAGTTTTTTCTCCATGATCTGTTTCCCTTCAAGGTTCTATTAACTGCCCACTTTGGAGGAAGAAAGTCACCAGAAAGTCTACATCTAATGGAATCAGTTTTCTGATCACGCTAGTTTGTCAGAATATTGTGAGAAGCAAAAGCTTTCAAGTTAGATCTCCCGGCACCAGAGCCCACCCTGAAACCAATGAGCTCCTTCCTGCAAAACCCAATGCAGACACAAGATGGCGCTAAATAGATTTAAGTGGGTTAAAAATCATACTAAGCTTCGAAAAGCAGAAAAATCACCAGCCTGGATGAGGGCCTGTGAATAAAACTCACATGGGAGGGGAAAAAAAGAAAGGAAAAGTAGATGATCTGGGTCACAGGAGCCACAAAAATTACAGATTTCCATTCGGAAGAAGGATGAGGAGTATCAGCATGTCAGAACAGAGTGGTGATGGTGCGCAATGACAGCACAGGTCTGAAAAGAAAGACCAGGCCATTTGTTGTTACACTGCTCTTGGAGTTTTCTCGAGGCATTTTTATTAACTTTCTGTGCTTCTGTTCCTTCATCTCAAAAGTGAGATAGTAAGATTGTAGTACCTATTCTGCAGAGGCGTTGTAGGGACTGAGTTAGATCAGAGGCTTTGTCAGAGTCAGTGCTCCATAAAGTGTCAGTCGTATCAAGGATGTCACTGAGGTCACACATCAATTATCAACTGAACAGAAGCACATGATGAAAGACTCTTAAGACACAGAGTGCGGAGAGCCCACTGCCCAAACAAAGTCACGATTAGTTTATTTTCTTAAAAAAAGTTTTTTTTTAATATATAGATATATGATCCATTTTGAGATAATTTTTTTTAGAAATTGTGTGGTTTAGACGGATATTCTTTTTTCACACATTTATTCCATGGGTCTAACACCATATTCTGACTATTCGATAGGATGCTGCTGCTACTCAGTCGTGTCTGACTTTTTGTGACCCCACAGACTATAGCCCACTAGGCTCCTCTGTCCATGGGATTCTCCAGGCAAGAATCGTGGAGTGGGTTGCCATTCCCTTCTCCAGGGGATCTTCCTGACCCAGGGATCAAACTCCAGTCTCCTGCATCTCCTGTATTGACAGGCAGATTCTTTACCACTGAGTCGCCTGGTAAGCCCAATGCATTATCGAGGTTGCAAGTTGTCTCGACTGCTTTATTGATGTAAGTTGTCTCCACTGCTTTTAGACCCATTTTGAACTCCAGCAAGAAAATAGCTTGAATTTGCTTTTTGCCTAACATCATTTCCATAGTCTAAAATAAATATAAAATAAACAGCAAGTAATAAGTCATTAGTAAAAAACCATAAAGCGAGAAGTGTGCATTAAAATGATGTATAACATAACCACA